TTTAGATAGCTTTGAAAAACCCAAAAGGTAAGGGTTGGTGTATCCTGCCAGTCTTTCTTTCTTTTTTTTTTTTTTCCTTGAACAGTTTTTTTCTTCCATTATTTCTGTTTTGTGGCAGCCTGGTTTCAGATTACCTGCCATCACCTGTGGAGTGATTTTGTACTAGATGTTTTCGTAACAGTAACTTGATCTATTCACTCCTCCAGATGAACCTGATTGTTTTATTTATTTACTTTTTTTTAAGCTCTTGTTGAAAGGTCACTGCTGTCAGAGGGCCCCAATGTGTTTGTGCTCTTTCTGTAAGCCATTAACTAGTAAAACCAGAGTCAGTGAAGTTTAAGTTCTGCACTTATTTACTCCAGCCCACACTGTCCTGTCCTGTCCTGTTCTGTCCTGTCCTTCTCATGACCTTTTATTCCAGGACACTGACGCTGACAGGGTAGGGGCTGACCTATGCATAGCCCTACAGGGCACATAAACAAAAGTAACACAAAGATGCGTGTAGATACTGATTAATGTAATGCACAATTTATTCATATGCACACAGCCAACAAGAGTTTAGAGGAGGTAAAGTGGGGAAAGTGACACAGTTATAACCTCACTGTCCACATCCCCAGTGCTAGCAACCGCCACCCTGTTTCCTCTCTTCTACGGGAAGTTGGGGTTACGGTGTGTGGGAATGTCATAGATCAGGGAGAGACGCAGGAGAGAAAGATCTAGGCTTCCAATACCACCAGACGGGTCTGGTTTTTAACCCAGGTCTTCATACCAGGCCTGCTGCATCACAGAGGAGATGGATTCCTCCCTTTCTTGACACATAATCAAACAGCAAAGGGCTCAGATAGTTCCAGGCCCTTGTTCCTTCTAGGGTCCTCTGTCTCTAAGAATCCCAGCTTGAGAATTTTTTCCTGCTAGATCTATGTGGAAAATGTTAGGGTAGATAAATGGAAAACCTGAGCCAAAATTCCAGCTGAATATCATATCATATGAGACCTCTGTAGGATTTGTGGTGTGTCTGGCCTAAGTGTGGTTGCAGAAGGAATGTGAAAGTGTGGCTCTCCTGGTCTTATGACCCAGTGTCTCTGAGCTCATGCGGTGAGGATCAGTTCAGATAGACTCAAAAGGCAGCAGAGCGAGAAGGGTACACTCAGCTGTGGGGTGTCCTAACAATCCCCTTCTTTGTCCTGAGTGTAACACTGGGCTTGTGCAAAACCACTCATCCTTTCTCACGCTTCATAGCATATACATCTGTCTGTGTTTGTGTGTGTGTGGAGCTTAAATTATGTTGGAGAGCAACATTCTCCCTTTATAGTTTAAACTCGTGTCCCAGCTTAAAGGAATCCATTGTGTAGTGACGTATGATGCGTTGGAAATGACTCAAGTACAATTCGTAAATTATACAGTTTTGCCCCAGTGTTTCCTTAATATTCTTACATCAGTAAAGGTCTCCTACAAGCAAACGCACTCCCCACTGTTTGGAAAATGTGATGATAGTATCATGTAGTCTCACTGTCTTTATAGTAGAAATGACTAAACTAGGTGCAAGGTTAAATATATGGCTGCAACTGACAATTAATTTGCACATTATTTTCTTGATGATGCTTTTTGTGTATAAAACCTCAAGAAATGGAGACAAAGATCCATCCCAAATTGACTTTTAAGCATGAAGAATTTTCCTCAGATTTTTTTTGTTCAACCAAAGATACAAAAGCTCCCTATAATGTAAGACTAGAAAAATCCGCAGTTCTTAACATTTAAAAAGTTGAAACCATCACATTATCATTTTTGCTTGAAAATGAACTTAAATGATTAATTGATCAAAATTGAACAAAAGTTACCTGTTAAATTATCAGCCAGTTAGCTAATTGATTAAACGACTAGCTGTTTAAGCTTGAGTTAAATCTATCCCCAGACATCCAGTATACCATGTGGAAAAACCCCTTTTCTAGAATTAGCCTATTATAATCAATTAAATCTGCAAATGCAAAAGATTTTTAACTGCATGGACTTCTGAAAATGGGAGAGTAGCTGTGCCTTGAACCCGCAGTTTTCCTTCTCACCTGTTGCATTTAGCTGTGTATCTCTTCCACTAATGTTAGTTCCTGAGAACAAGGAGGTTGTTACTGAAAACCCCAGAATAATATCTGGTTAATGCCAAGCTTATGGGTAAACACTCACCCAGATGGTTTTCTCCTACCCTCCCTCTCTACCCCCATGCCTCATGCTTTTTTTTTTTTCTTTCTCCACTCTCTTTTGCTTTCCTTTACTCCCCTCTGTCCCCTGTCTCTTTCCTGTGTTTTCTTGACAGGTTCATGTGTGCCCAGTTGCCTAACCCTGTCCTGGAGAGCATCAGTATCATCGATACTCCTGGAATCCTGTCAGGGGAGAAACAGAGGATAAGCAGAGGTCTGCTTCACACACATTCACCTACACTTTACCCACTCTCACCAATACTCCTGTTTAACAGAGCCATACACTCACGTTTTACTATAACCAGTCTGCATACATGCAGATTAAACCCACAGGAAGTTACAAGGTTAGATATGAAATGGAAACCTACGTGCTCTTCCTTTCCGCGAGTCTCTGGTACATCTGTTTGGCAAGTGCTCTGCTAAGTCAGCTGTAGTAGGTTCTGTCAAACCTGTATTCAACTCTTATCACCCTCCAGTCAAAGCCTAACCAAACAGGCCATGTGAATCTGATGGAGCCCTTCACAGCTTGACAACATCAGTGAAAGGATGCGGAACACTTAGAAGTTCATGGCTCTGTACCTGTGGTTTTGTTGGCACTGTCCTTATTTCACATCCTTCCCTCTTTTTTGTTCTCTTTTTTTCCTGTTCTCACTTCGGCCTGTAGCTCGTTTTATACTAAAAATTATTTCCTCTATTCAGCTGTTTTGTCATTCTGCGTATCCCCTCTGTTTGCCCTGTGCTGTGTCATTTATCATTTGAGTCATTTCCCTGTGCCCTGGGAGAATAATTCATAGTTTTATTCATTCACATGCTCCAACTGTGCTTTGACCTGCAGGCTCACCCCAGAATTGCCACATACACAGTTTTCTTCTTGCTTTTGATGATGCTACACAACTCGGGCAGAAGATAATAGGGCAGCTGACCATTGCTTCTGCTTTTCTACCTGATTTCAGCCCCTTTAAGAGGAAGCATACAGCCAGTAGAGTTTGTGTCCTCTTGGGAAAGGAAGTGGAGTAAAATAGCAATCGTTTCCCAAGACTGACCCACCACCACTACTACTATTACTACTGCCTGTGTTGAGATCTGACAGTCTGCCCTTTATTACTGAGTCTGGTTTCCCATGAGAAGAAGAAGGATCATGGAAAAATATTAAAAAGTAGATCTCAAATGAAAGTGAATAATTCTAAGGTATCGTTTAAACAGAAGTGTCAAAATTCGTAGCTTTTCTATATGAGGATTTGTTGCATTTCATCGTTGTATAAATGTGCTAATATCTTTGAATTCTGGATTGTTGGAAGCACAAAACAAGCCATTTGAAATGATTTTTTTACTGTTTCTGAGATTTTATAGATCAGTTAATGGAGAAAATAATCTGATTAAGCAATAATGGCAATCTGTAGTTTCATCATTTGAAAAGGCCAAACTGGTGACTGTAAACATAGAAGCACAAATTAGTGCCATCTGATAAGGAACCAACAAAAGTGTGTGTACAGTATAAATGAAAAGCCTGGCAGGCTGGGTCATGTTGGGGTGACCCTGCCTAACAGGAGGAGGAGCAAACGAAATATAATGCCTCATATGTCAGACAGCTCTATACATATTTCCATATTCTTAATCTCAAAAACACATTATTTTCCTATTTCTCAAGCTCACAGACACACTCTCACATATTATCCTTTACTCTGTTTCTGTATAAACATGCTGTAGTTTTCAGATGTACTGTATTCACTGTGTCAGATAAAAACAGGACTGATGGTGCAGCTCAGGTGTGATGGCCATTACTCATAGGCAGATGTTGGGCTTGTACCACGCTGCAGAAAGCTATGCTATTATTTCAGAATGTCACATACTTTTAAAATAGCATGCAGGACAGTGTTGTGTCAAAAAATTTCTCAGGTTTAACTGCTGACGTAACAACTTTGAGAGAGTGAAGAGAGATTTGCATTTCGAAACAGGGAAACTCTGTTTCCCCATTCATGGATGCCAAGTGTTTTTACTGCAGAATGCTTTGGAGATGGATTACTTTTTTGATTAGATCAGCGAGTGTGGTTCACTGCTTGTTCTTGTTGGACCAGGAAGTCATGAAAACAGTTTTGCAGAGCTGGCTGATGTCTTTCCCATAGTCACTTCTGATGACACGAGTACTAACATGCTTGATGCTGTGCTACAGATAAGTGCGAGTTACTGGACATATCCCACTGTGTTGGTGCATATGGTAGAGACATACCAGTTGCTGATGGTTACATGCTATAAACCAGTCTAAGCTTGAGCAGCTGTCTGTCTTGATTCCCTGACGCTTGTTGAAACCAGACTCAAGAGGGAATGGGCAAATGTCCTCGGCCAGATCCTGTGGGGATCTTTGGAGTAATTCCCACTTTATGCTCCTCTACTATCACATGTCATGCACGCAAACTCCTTGTGCAGAGGGTGTTTTCCTACAACATATCTTCTGTATCTCTCCTCACATTTTTCTTACTTTCACTTTTATTCATACCATGTCTTTCTGTTTCTCAATCTCCTTTTTTGTCCATCTGTATTGGTCTCATTTTCTCTCTCCATCTGTGTGGGGATCTTTGGAGTAATTCCCACTTTATGCTCCTCTACTTTCACATGTCATGCATGTAAACTCCTTGTGCAGAGGGTGTTTTCCTACAACATATCTTCTGTATCTCTCATTACATTTTTCTTACTTTCACTTTTATTCATACCATGTCTTTCTGTTTCTGTCTCCTTTTTTGTCCATCTGTATCAGTCTCATTTTCTCTCTCCATCTGTATAGTCAATCATTCTCTCTTCTATACATGTGCTTGGACAGAGACAAAAGCCAGTAATGGAATGTATGTACCACAGATATGACGCTGATTGTGCAGCAGCCGAGAAACTTTTAGAACAACTACATTCCTCTCTGAACAGTTGATGAGCAGATGCTGATCAGAACCAACATTTTCTCTTCCTCCCTCTCTCTGCAGATTCTTGAAACAAAGGAAAGTACAGATGCGCCTTTCTTATGTAATTTGAGTTGGCCCCATAGTTTATCAAATAACTAAGAAGTGAATAGTGCAGTCATTACTATGCTTGGAGACGGAAGTTTGTTTATAGCACAGTCCATCTGAGGCTTGAAACGTTTGGGTGTTACTGTTGAATGACACAGCATTGCATCTCATTTTCACATATTTGCTCTTTCGCTTCCTTTTATCTTTCATTATTGGCAAGCTTTGTTTTTCATAAGGCACATTAACAAACGCTGTTCCGGACAAAGATTGTTTCATTCTTGAGACTAATATACGACAAGTCAAATTGCCCAGTTGGACTTGGGTTCAAATGATTATTACCTTTTATACACCAGTCTCTTTCCTCTCAGCAAAGCTAGTTAATAGTTAGTTAAGGGAAAAACTTGAAAGCTCTTATCTAAACATGTAACTTAGATTAGCAAAAATGGCCCAAGGAGCTGCAGTATTGTCTTTTTCTTCTCATTTTTGATCATACACACTGTAGACTAGTTTTAGATTCATCTTGGCTTCCTTCCATTAAATACACACCTTTCTTTTTAAAATCAGGCAATATTTCCACTATTCAGTAACACCTGCATAGCAAGACTTATCTTTACCAGGACGTTTCTTCCTGGGGGAAAAGGTTCAAGTGAACACCTGACTTGACTCTTGCAGTACTGACAGAAGTGTAAATGGGCTTTTTACCGAGTTTATCAAAACAACAACTAAACATGCATTCACTGGAGAATGGGGGAAGTTAGAAATAAAGGTCTCTGCCACTGAGGTAAATACAGGAATTGAGAGGCATTGAAAATGAAGTAGTGAAGGCTATCTTCTGTATTACCAAATGTCAGATTGACTCATTTTATTCCGATCATATCTTGGTCTATTTAGACTGAATCAGTTTAAATAAAGCCAGTAACCAGGCAACATTTGAAGTTGTTAGAATGCAAATACTGTACACATCCCATCCTTAAACAGCCTGTCTCCTCTGCGTTTCCCGTTCCAGGTTATGATTTTGCTGCAGTGCTGGAGTGGTTTGCCGAACGCGTGGACCGCATCATCCTCCTGTTTGATGCCCACAAGCTTGACATCTCTGATGAGTTCTCCGAGGTGATCCGAGCGCTCAAGAACCACGAGGACAAAATGCGCGTAGTGCTGAACAAGGCGGACCAGATCAGCACTCAGCAGCTGATGAGGGTCTATGGAGCGCTGATGTGGTCTCTGGGAAAAATCATCAACACGCCTGAGGTAAAAAGCAACAGTTTTTCATGTGTGCCCTTACATTTTCTACAGATTTTAGATGTATTGCATTTCTTCATGAAAAGTGACTGGCATATGTTTGTCATACTAACGGCAAGAACTTGCCCTCTAGAGCAGGTATTAATTGGTTGTCAGATGTCCTTATAGTGCGGTCTGAGTCTGTTAATGTTTTGAGGGAAAATGTAGCCACCTGAGGCAGGTTTAGACAGAGGTCAGATGACTTTAATGGGGGGGGGCAGACAAGCGCGACATATTTTCTGATGTGCGCGCTCTGTCCGCTGGTGGGAGTGTGCTCACCCATGTGTGTGAGCATTGGGGTAGAACTCCGCTGTTTTCAATACAGAGCAGAGGACAATTGTAAATGCACAACCATGTAGAGACAAAAATTACATGCCGTCATGTAAATAAGATAACACAAGACTATTTAGTTTGTTTAATAAAAGAACATTGTATAGACCTGTTCTATGGGAAAGGTAACCCAATATAATGGTAGGGGAAGTACTGTTTCCAGCCAGTGATCTCAGCTTGTCACTGTTTAAAAAAAAACAAACAAAAAAAAAAAAACTTCAGTATATTATTATACAGTAGTGAAAGACAGTTTTAATACCATCTGTCTTAGATCCAAAGTCCTGCCAGATATCACGTGACATGGCTTGTCTTATGATTTGACTGTCAAGTTAATGTTTGATCCAGGTTCATATTCATAAACTGATCACAGAGAAACCTTTGGATCATGTAGATCATTGACTTTGAGAGTGTGCTGCTTTGTGAAACACCTCTACATGATGTGAAAGCTGGACATATCAGTCTTATTATTTTTATTATTACTTCACTTTCAACCTCAGTCTTATTATGTTGTCACGCATCCTGTTTTTGAGGTTTGCACTTCTGTCTGTGTCTGTTTCTAGTTGAATCGCACTGTGATGTGTGTAACCTGTGAACAAACTTCCACTCATATGGAACTTGATGGGCAGTAGAGATTAATGGAAATGGAACTTGTGCCAACTTTGTTCCAGGTGGTGCGTGTGTACATTGGATCCTTCTGGGCCCAGCCCCTGTTGGTGCCAGATAACAGGAAGTTGTTTGAGGCAGAGGAGCAGGACCTATTCATGGACATCCAGTCTTTGCCACGAAACGCAGCACTACGCAAACTCAATGACCTCATCAAGCGTGCACGCCTTGCCAAGGTCGGTGTCAGCGCAACTACACAGCCATGCTAGTGGCTCTTTTAGACACATTCTGGTGTCTGCATGCTAACATGCTCAAAGTGGTAATGCTAACTTGCTGTTTAACATGGTCACCTTCTTAATTTAGGATGTTAATCTTCCAACATTTGCTAATTAGCACAAAATACAAAAAGTCATTAGTATGTCCTTATGCATTTGGTAAAAGGAAAAACTGACAAATGAGCTCTTTGACCTGATGATGGCAGCAGATGAAAAGTCAAGGGATGACCAGAATTATCACAGTTCTTCCTGTGGGGGACATGAATTTCATAACAGTCTGACATCTGTCAGAAATCACTGATGTGAACCCACTGGTGGTGCTTAAAGACTCGTTAAGGAATCAGCAAAGTCGGTCATCCTCTGGAGAACATGAATGTCCCCCCCAGACACATGCACCTAAACATTGTCACGGTCATTTTAAAATAGGTTCAAACATCCAAGAACAAATGACTCAATGGACAAAACAGCCCACCCTGTTCAATGTTCACATCTTTGTTGCTTAAGCCACTGTTTTAACTTTGTAGGAAAGACTGGGAGTTCAGATTGTGATTTAAATAATTTTGTAAAGTGTTCCATGGTTGTTAGCTTTTTACTGACGAACATGACTGGTGGTTCTGCACCTTTGACCTCTGTAGTTCTCATTTACTACCCCTCTAGTCTTGACACATTTGTTGTTGAGAGATTTCCAGCAGTACCAAAGTGGTGGGCCTACTGATATTACATTGCTATCCATTGAGCCATGCTGCTTGAGAAGTTTTAAAAATCCCCACCTGATTAACAAGCTGCATCATCACATCTTATTTTCACTCACCACTGCCCCCTGACTTCCCAACTGCACAACAGAGGGATTTTACACAGGAAAAACATCCAGTTTTATGCAACTTTGTGTTCAGTTTCTAAACTACCCACAGGCAGAAGTGTCTGTTAATTATAGCAATCTGGTAAACAAGGAACCTTGTAACATTTACAAGAAGGGATAATTTTTCTGCTACCAGTCTGTATGTACAGTGGCAAGAAAAAGTATGTGAACCTTTTGGAATGTCATGGTTTTCTGCATTAATTTGTCAAAATGTGACCTGATCTTCATCCAAGTCAAGAGTATTGACAAATATAATGTGCCTAAAATAATAACACAAATTCTGATCTTTCATGTCTTTATTGAGAACAACTATAAAAACCTCATAGTGCTAGTGGAAAAAGTATGTGAACCCTTGAGTTAATGACCTCCAAAAAAGCTAACTGGAGTCAGGTGTTGGCATACCTGGAGTTTTGTTAAGAAAATGAGTTAGGAGGTGTGAACTAGAGCTACTTTGATAGATAAAAACCACTCAAACCTTTTGAGTTTGCTCCACACAAGAAGAATATGCTTATGCGAGCCCTGCCTCGCCAAAAAGAGCTTTCAGAGGATCTACGATCAAGAATTGTTGATTTACATAAAGCTGGGAAGGGTTATAAAGTGGTTTCAAGGACTTTAGAAATTCACCAGTCTACAGTTAGGCACACAATCTACAAATGGAGACACTGTGGGACAGTGGCTATTCTACCAAGAAGTGGGTGCCCAGTCAAAATGACCCCAAGAGCACAACGAAGACTCACCAATCAGGTAAAGAAACAACCCTGAGTGTCAGCCAAAGATTTGAAGGCATCATTGGAACTGGATAACATCTATGTTCATGAGTGTACAGTACGTAAAACACTGAACAAGCAGGGTGTCTATGGCAGGACACCACAAAGGAGGCTGCTGCTTAGTAAAAAGAACATTGATTCAAGTCTGAAGTTTGCAAAAGAGCACATTGACACTCCACAGCATTGATGGCAAAATGTTTTGTGGACTGATTAAACTGAGAAACTATTTGGAAAGAACACGCAGCACTACATCTGGTATAAAAAGGGCACTGCATATCATCATGAAATCATTATTCCAACCGTAAAGTAAGGTGGAGGAAACATCATGATTTGGGCCTGCTTTGCTGCATCAGGGCCCTGCCAGCTTGCAATCATTGAGAGGAAGATGCATTTCAAAAAATTCTTTAGGGTAATGTGGGAATGTTTGTACATCAGCTGAAACTCTGTAGAAGTTGGGTGATGCAACAGGACAATGACCCAAAACCCCGAAGCAAGTCCACAACAGAATGGTTTCAGAAAAACAAAATCTATCTTTTGCAGTGGCCAAGTCAGAGCCCAGACCTCAACACAATAGAGATGCTATGGAATGACTTGAAGAGAACCATACATGAGACATACAAAGAATATGACAGGTCTAAAGCAGTTCTGCAGGAAGAATGGGCTAAAATTCCTCCTGAACAACATGCAGGTCTGATCCACAGCTACAGGAAGCATCTGGTTGAGGTTATTGCTGCCAAAGTGGGGTCAACCAGTTATTAATTCCAAGGGTTCACTTACTTTTTCCACTGCCATGATGAATGAGACATGAAATATCAGATTTTTTATTTTTTTATTTTAGGCATATTATAATTTGTCAGTACTCGACTTAGATGATCAGATCACATTTTATGACAAATTAATGCAGAAAAATTTGAAATTCCAAAAGGTTCATATACTTTTTCTTGCCACTGTACATTGAGTTGATCCCTAAGTTTAAAGATTCCACCAGACATGTTTTAAATTTATGAAAATTCTCTGCTTTGGAAATAACATCTACCCCTTCAGTCTCATACATAAATATTTTATTTACTAGTTAAACAACTTTAAAAGGTTAACTACTGGACACAAGATGCCCCCTGTTTCACTGTAAAGTTCATTTTCAACGAGTGTAGGTTTCAGTTTTCCCACATGACACTTGTGTAAGTTGTATATTTGATAATGACTGGCGTTCAAACGGACTGTGATTTCACAAATCATCCTCAGAGGCACACGCCTTGAACTGAGTGAGGTAGGCACTGAGAAACATTCAGCAAATTATTTGATTTGATTTATTTATTCTTTCAAGCATGTAAAAACAGTTGATATATCAACACAATTTTACACATATCCAACAAATGCTAATCCAATATCAATTTGCTTATACCTAGTACATGCTTGAATGGAGTAGGAAGAAGTCAGACTTATCCAGTCCTACCCCATGACATCACCTTTAGCTAAATCAAAATCCTAATAAACAATCCAACTCCCCACATTTACCCCAAAATCACGGGTCAGTAATCAATGAAAATATGTGCTGTCTCTCTTATGTTCTCCAGGTACATGCCTACATCATCAGCTCTCTGAAAAAGGAGATGCCAAGTGTGTTTGGAAAGGACACCAAGAAGAAGGAGCTGATAGCCAGTCTGGGAGAAATCTACCATAAGCTTGAGAAGGAACACCAGATCTCACCTGGAGACTTTCCCAGTGTCACCAAGATGCAGGTGAGATAAAGACAAATATCGACCTACACAGCAGAATAAGATGCATTCTCCAGACCTGAAGATTTTGATGAATTAAGTTATTTTTGTTGTAATAGAAATTCAGTTAAGAGTAGAAATTCAGTTAAGAGTAGAATGACCTTCCAACCTTTACTCTCTTCACATCTTTGCCCTTCTTTCCTGCCCATACCTTCAGGGTGGGCCAGAGCAGGGATGAGATTTATTTTTCCTGGTGTGGCAGGAAATCCTGCTTCTTGTATGCTGCTCCCATTGGTAGCCGTTGAAGACTGATTTATTTCTATCACCAATTCCTGTTTTCTCTCAAACCATGATCCCTTCAGGAGCTGCTGAATGGCCAAGACTTTACCAAGTTTGCTTCGCTGAAGCCCAAGCTGCTGGAGGCAGTGGAGGACATGCTCGCCAATGACATCGCCCGTCTCATGGCCCTGGTGCGCCAGGAAGAGGCCACCATGCCTAGCCAGTCTGTCAAGGGTGGAGCCTTTGAGGGAACCATGAGTGGTCCCTTTGGTCATGGCTACGGCGAGGGCGCCAGTGAAGGCATTGATGAGTTGGAATGGGTAGTGGGTCGCGACAAACCTACATATGATGAGATCTTCTACACCCTCTCTCCCATCAACGGCAAGGTGTCTGGTGCTGCAGCCAAGAAGGAGATGCTGAAGTCCAAGTTGCCCAACACGGTGCTAGGAAAGATCTGGAAGCTAGCAGATGTGGATAAAGATGGCCTCCTCGACGATGAGGAGTTTGCTCTCGCCAACCATCTAATCAAGGTGAAGCTGGAGGGCCATGAGCTGCCATCCTCGCTTCCTGATCACCTGATACCCCCGTCCAAACGTGGGACAGTCCTTCAGGCCTAGAGGAGGAGGGAGCAGCCTGGAGATGAGCCACGTTGATGCTATGCGTCATGTTTGGGACTCTCCAGGCAAAAGGTCCAACCACAAGCATCGACAGCATCATCCCCCATCAAGCTGTGAGTCTCCAGGCATCTTCACGTGGCCTGAGGAGGTATCGCTTTGATTGTTTTCACCAGAGAGAGACTGGAGGGTTTCATGGGGAGTGTGGGGAAAGGACAGGTCCATCTGTGTTGGGGGATAAAGTTCAGGTATCTATTGGAAATAAATAGGGGTGGGGAGTTGGCAAATGATGAAAAGACATTACTACATCGTGAACTGATGGGTAGCTGGAGGTTGCATGATGGTTCTGAACTTGGATTTGTACATCTGTGTAAAAGATGTCTTATAAGCATATGGTCCATATTATTTTATGTTGATCCAAAGAAAAGGTTTTTTTCATTTGGAAGAGAGGAAACAAATCAAAACCTTAATTGTTTTATCTATATTTTTGTATTTCCTGACTGCTAACCTTGACTCTTTCCAAATGCTTCCCTTTTTATTAATTTGCCAGATAAATAAAGAGGAATATGCATCACTGAACTCATGGTTATGTAGATTTTTATTGAATCTTTCTGTAATACCTGACATTAATTTGTCTATCCAGACATTTGACAACAGAACAATGTTATGAGAAGAGCCACTTATTAAAATTGGGAAAGACTTCTAAAATCATTTTTTTGCTCTAACTCTGAAATGAATTGTAGTTTGTTTATGTTTTGTGTTTTTTTTTTGTAACCATTTGTCAGTGAGGGTCATACCAAGGACTGTGGTTTAGAGGTAATCCACAGGCTACCTTTTTATTTTGGAATTTGAAACTTTCACTGAAGTCTGCTGCCATCTATAGTCCAGAAAGAGTTAAAAGAGCCTCAGCAGGACATGGTATAAGGACATTTACCCATGAAACAAGTCGTTTCTTATTGTGTATTTGTAGGCCAAATTGAGAACTGTGGTGGAAATGGACACATAGATCATCTGTGGAGCAGTACAAGGACACGTGGAGATACTTTACAAAAAAAAAAAAATCAGTCCAGGCTCAGGGGATGAGTAGAAATTGCAAACGGAAAGACAGGAAGCTCTTACATATGGCACTTGAGCCTGAATATAGACAAAGTTGTCATCATTTCACATATCATTCACTTAGTAAACCTACACTAGATAGCCTGAATCTACTCTTAGGTCTATTTGCATGATTCAAATGGGTTGTAGATATAAAAAAACTGAAATGTAAATCAGCTGCATCACAACAATTAATAGTACATTTAATGAGACACTTGACGCTTTGTGTTTCCAAAGGAAACGGCAACAAGGTCAAGAATTATGTAAACTCATTCCTCTTATTTCCTCAGTTTGGAGCCATCAGCTGGTCCTAACCCTGGATTTTACTTTGCATGACTGAATGCATCTCTTCCTCATCAGGACACTCATCCTCCATGGAGACTCATTTGTATTCCACTCACTGAGTCATGATCCGTCAGCTGTAGTTACACATGATCTCCACCAGCTGCTTAGCTTCTTTCTTTTTTTATAACCACAGCACCAGGTGATTTCATGTTTAGTTAAGTCCAGAGATGCTCTCTTCTGTTAAGTTATTACAAGTGTTGTGTTTGGATAGACTGACTTTATGTGGCTGTGTCCTCTGCTACTGCTCATATCTACACCTCATATCATCATCATAAACACATAGCAAAGACAAACAAATTTTCCGATCCCTGACTGCTAGATCAACTTGCTTCCAAGTTTTGGAAATTTTATGAAGCATCTTACTGATACCATACATTTCTAAAAGGAAATGCAGGTTGCTTTTCTTTCAGTTGTTAAAATGTGAAAGCATTTAGTGATGAATAAATGAAGACTGTATTCATGTTATGTAACAAAGACAAACAGGCAGTGAAACACTGATGTTAACTTCCTTCAGAAAACTTTTAGTGGCCAGTAATTTACAGCTCTTGTTCTGTTAATGATAATGTGTTTGCAGAAAGCTGCTGGAATGCCCACGGTGGTGTGAAGTGAGAGATGCCGTGACTGTACACTGGGTGTTTGGATAGCGCCGCCCTCCTCCAGTGTATATCTCTGCTTTACATTGCTTCCTTCTTCCTGTCTTCCTCTGCAAGTGTTCCTTCTGTGTCAAAAAATAACCTCTCCATAATAATCAACCCTGTGACACACTGACCCCTGCAGATAGTTAACTGGATCAGGCCTATATAACACTGTCATGTGGAGGGAGTGCCACGTCTCACAGGCAGGTGAGGAATGAGTAGTATTTGTACAGTATATATGAGTACTAGTACTCAGGGAAAGTGTAACACAGCCACGACCTCGGTTACAATAGATCATTTTTATGTTTGATGCCTTAACTTGTTTTAAAGGGTAATACCATTATTCTGTGGCTTCACAAAAAAAAACCCTTCAAACTCTTCAATCATGACCTCAAAACATCCCTGACTATAAATTAAAAACCTCAACTGTGACTTGAAAGGTTGATGTTTTAAAGGGGCTGGTTTTTCAAGCAGCACTTAAAATGCTGCAGTTGTAAAGTTGCCTGTAGAGTGGCTTCAGACACGTGTCAGACCGTCTTTATTGTGCTTTAGATGTAATTTTCAATGGGTAAAATTTCCATTTGCACATCAATCGACACTCAATAACCTATAATGACCAACTAAAACATTTTTGATATTTTTGCAAATGTTTTTAAATGAACAATTCAAAGTGTTCATTTACAGAAGCATTCAGACTCTTGCCTTTGGTCAGGTACATTCATCTTGACTGGAGTCCACCTGTGGTGAATTGAATTGACTGGACAGGGTTTAGAAAGGCACACACCTAAGGTCACACAATTCACACTGCAAAACTCACAGCAGCATTAAGAGGACCCTGAGAGCAGGAGGAAAACTCTGGTCTTATGAGACAAAAACTGGACAGAGCTCCAACGTATGAACACCCAGCACTGCTCATCACCTGCTAACACATCCCTACTGTGAAGCATGGTGGGGGCTTTTGGGGCACTTTCAGCAGTAGGGACAGGGAGACTCATCTGAATTGTAAGGATGAATATAGACAGACAACCTGCTCCTGAGTGCACACAACCCAAGAGTGGGACACTTCACCTTTCAGCATGACAATGACATGAAGCACACAGCTCCAGGAAACAATGCACTGGCTTCAGGACAAGAGTCTGACTGTCCCTGAGTGGCTGAGCCAAAGCCCAGACATAAACCTGCAGAATATCTGGCGAGACCTGAAGATGGATGTTCACAGACACTTCCCATCCAGTCTAAGGGAGCCTGAGAGGATCTGCCAGGAAAACGGGGATAAACGGCCCAAATCCAGGTGTGTAGAGACTTACCCAGGAAGACTCAAAGCTGTAATTGCTGCTGAAGGGACTTTTGCAAAGTACCGAATTAAGGATCCAAAGACTTTTGTAAATGAGACATTTAAGTTTTTTTGATAACTTTGTTAGCCATTTAAAACTGAATCTGCAACAATGTGAATGATGTCTGTAGCTACTGTAAAGGAACAAACTGACAGTTCATGATGCATCATACTGTCACTCATGTAACCTTCATTTTCTTCTACGAACACACTTAAGTAAATATGACTCAAAGATAATAAATTAAAAGACAATTGTTTATTTTTGGTATACTGACAGCTGGATACAGAAAAAATCAGGGCAACATAAAATCTACATCCATGTCTTCACTGAGTGTCTCAAGATCCTGGTGCACAATTTCACATTTTTGAGGGAAGAAGAGGCAAAGAAAGGAAAGGAGGAAGTGGAGGTAAGTGCTACAAATTCAGTCTTACTACCAGCAAGATTTGTGAAGTGTGAAGGTTTTTACTGAACTGCAACAACATCAGCTGAAAACAGGTTTGTTTGTCATAGAGGCCAAAGGACTATTTAGATTTTTTACCTGGTAATGCACAATAATATAATCACAATACTGTCTTCACATTGTTGGAGCACAGGAAAAATGAGAGGGTGAGAACAGCACTCAGTTTGTTACATCTTCTTGGCCATTTCCCTAATTTAAAAAAAACTAATTCTGTGTTGGCTTCTACTTTTTCTTCTAACATCTCATAACATGATCAGTTCATCAAGTCACTCAGTCCAAAATGTCATCAGGGAGCCTTGTCCACATCAGAGTGCGAGCACAATGAAAAGAGGATGGGGGTGGGGTGCTGTTTAAAAGTCCAGAAATGTTCATGAGGTAGGCTGACATACAGTTTGGGGCTAAAAACTGGGCACAAACAGTCTCAGCTTGGATTGGTTTGTCTGTCTTTTCCAGTTTGGTTGTGTGGTGTCAGCTATTGGTCTGGGCTCAGATTATCTGATGTGCTTTGGTCTCAGTGGGGAGACCCGTCTACTGGTTGAGGTGCTCCGAACATCTCCTGTGAGGCATAGGTGATGTAGAGGAAGCCGTCAGCGTCGCTGTAACGGGAGTAAATCTCGCCCATGCTGGAGGACATGCACGACATGCTCTTCTCCGCCACCAGTAGAAACAGAGCCTGGGTGGAGTCCAGAGCAATCTTATTCCTAAAAGAGACATTTGGAGAGCTGGATAAACAACGGAAAACAAAGGAGAAGAAAGTATGAGGGAGGCAGAGGTGTGGAGAAGCTGGTAGAGAACAAAGGCAAATCTGACAGCTTGGGGAAGAAAGAGGTAGGAGGGTTGAAATGACAAGAAAAATCAAAACAAGTCCATTGAAGAGTGAGGAGGAGGAGGAATTAGATGGTTGGAAACATATAGTACATCAAAGCATTTACCTGAGCAGGCAGAGGAACTGACCCAAGGTGAACTCGAAGGGAACCAAGAACTTTGTTTTGTCCAACAGGGGGAGAGTCTTTTCACGGATGTAACGTTCAACAATGACCTGAACCCAAGAACATGTGTGATCAGCTGATGGTGCAATTGCATGCAGCAAAGAAGTAGAAACGGTGATTAAATGCATCACATTTGTCAATTTTAGACCAACTCACTGGCAGCTTATTGGGGAATTTAGACCGAATACTGCACACTTCATCTTTTCTTGTTGCTAAAGAGAAAGAGCACACTGGTTTATACACATTCTACACTTTTAAAACCAGCATGTGTACACTGTGAGGTCAATGTGTGAATGCAAGTAGGTGTAGAAGTTCAAGAAATCAGTGACCTACCGAGACATTTCCTCTGCTTGAAAGGCAACATCTCCATAGATTTTTCAAAAGGAGCCATGTTGTTTTTCAGTTTGCAGAGACCAGTGGCGATGCAGGCGTTGCGGCTGGTGGCGCCAGGTGTGGCGGTCCTGCCCTGGCTGACAGTGAAGTCCCCTCGGGTGGAGGTGAGCAAACTTAAATGAGCTGCTGTGAACACTGGGGTTTTATAGGAGTCAGAGCAGGGAGGAGTTGAAATGTGACACCAACAGAAAAAGACACCCTCCTCGTCCTGGTGGACAGTGTGTGGATGTGGGGATGCATCTATGCCTGTGTGAGCTCTTCACTGGTTCAGACCAGATTCCCATGCACGTGATGGCTGGAACATTCTCACATCTACCTGTGACGATGGCGCTGCGGTCACGTACACATGTACTTGTACACAGAGGAATACAAGCATGAAGTATAATTGGAGCAGCCCACCATGTGAAGAGCACGAAGGACGCATGGCATTAATGATTCAGACAAACGGCGACACCAGAGAAACCACCTGTCTTTAAACACGGCTGGACGACCCAAACTTACACTGAGAAACCTGATGCCAGCTCTATCAAAGGTCAGAATATCTCTTGACCTTTGGCCTCATCACTAGAGTGCTGGTTTCAGTATGTGTTTCCATCAGGCACAATATCTCCAGATGATTGTAGCCAATGGGATGTCAATCAGTTATGTGTCCAAATTTTCCTCCTTGCGGTTGCAATCCAGTGATAATATTGTTATAACACCTTTTCCTGCTAGGAGAAGGTTTGCTGTGAAAACAAAAAACAGATTTGCAGGTGAAATCACCAAATCTAGATTTTAAATAAACATAAAACTGGGACAAAGATTTGAATCATTGCTGGAAAGAAGAACTGATAAATCTAATTTTAATGGTTGGTCTAACAGCTGTTTTGGTCACATCATATGATCTCCATCAGCAGATAGTTTGCTCACTTGTCACTCAATCACGTGTTCAAATTTCCATGTCTTAAGGACTTGAAGCCAAATAGGAACCGAGCAACCTCCATCTGCTGCAGAAGATCAAATGATGCTTTTAAAAGCTTCACACCAGCTACAAAAGAGACCCTGAGGAGAGACTGATTTTATCAACTGAGCAAAAACTGGTTGAAAAGTTAGTTATTTAAAAATACCTGTCTCGTAATCTTTGTTTCAATAGCATTTAAAACACTACTCTATAACGTGAAGCAGCTTTTGCTGTATGTTCAATCAAATAATATAGTGTGTATGCAAAATAACCTTGTTCTTTAAGGGGGACTATGGTCAGGTTGTAGGTCAGGGGCCTGTGGAAACATTATTAGGGGCAAAAACTGTGTTGTGAGTGAGGATCACCCTCTACTGGTTGAAAGGTGGCACCAGCGCAGAGTGCAGTGCACCTGAAAGGCATACAGAATATGTTATTAGCTTATTAACAGCAGTTGGTATAATTTAAGGCTGCAAAATGAAACCTGTGACAATGAACATTTTAACACTCATAAATAGAAAAACTTGGATGAAGCAGGTGTAAAAGACTAGAGTCTAACTGTAATCTTGTTTGTACCCACCAAAATAACAGAAGGCCCTGGTAAAGCCAAGAGCAGCCAGCAGATTTGATAATAAGATTATTCTCACTTGATCTCACTTAAGTTTAAAAGGAATCTGAATCTTCTTACATGTCAGACCTACTGTGAGATTCATTTGTTGAGGGCTTCAGGCACAAATGTGATGCTGGGCCCCCTTTAACCCCCACCTGTCCAGGCTGGCCATTTACTCCAGTACACTGCAGAATACATCGCTTCATTATATGTCCTAAGGTCTACTGTGCCAGTTAGTCTTTGGAAAACTGATTAAACACATCTTTAAGATTATTGCACTATTTGAACATAAAATAAACTAAAATAAACATCCCAAAACTAGATTTTGACACAAGGTCAAACTTTATTTAATACCTGATATACCGTACACTACAGGCTATATTATAAAGGACTGTATATTCAGTGCTTTGTGTGTAAAATCTTTAGCGGTCCATCCACACGTGTTTTCACTTATGATGCCTAGTTAAACTTCTTCCCAGGACAAAGTGAGTTGGTCTGACCTCTCAGTCACCTTTTATTCGATTTTATTGTTCCGTTGTGGCAGGGTAAATCAGCCTGTTACCATTCTTATTAGAGCAAAGAGTTTGGTGAAATTACATTTTTCCCATCATCACTCCGCCTATTTCCCACGTGACCAGGTGTCTAATCAGCCAGAGAGATTGACAACACCTGTGTGAGTGCGCATGGGCTTTAATTGGCTAAGTAGCAGGCAGGTAAACAGGTTAGTGGCGTAAAATTGATGCATAACACTGAATAAAATCGTGTAAATGACCTAGTAAAAGTACCTGAAATCGTTCAAAGGTTCCTGAGTTAATGTAATTGGTGACATTCTTTCATTGCCTATGGGAAACCTAGTATAGGGACGTATTTGTCCTCTGACTGTGGACAGAGAAGTTGGACAGTGGGAAGATTTCTTTATGCGACCATTCGAAAAACTTCCCCGACCAATCTCAGTGCTGCTCTGGTGCAGTGGCTCCTCCTTTCTGCTGCCTGCTCCCACGTTACACCCTCCATCTCTCTGTTGCATTGTCTTATTGGGAACGCAGCGTGCGGGTGACTCCACCGGACATGGAGGGTTTTAAGTGACAAAGTAAGGACAGTGTCAACAGGAAATCAAGATGGATTAACGTGAGGCATGGCTCGTTGATGTTCCTTCAGGCTATCAGTGGACTCATTATCTTTGTGCCAGTCAGCAGGGCTGCCTGAGGCACGCTGCATGGCACACCACAGAAGGCGATGTTTATAATCTTTCATTAGTGAGGCGTTAATTAATGTGTTACTATGACTCGTCCGAACCTGTGTTGATCTAGCCGGACCTGTACCCTGACCCATTCATTCCTCTTATCTGCTGCACAGTAACTGAGGCAGCGGTGCGCACCGGTTCCGCCTGCCGGGCACCCCGATGAAGATGGCTGGCCGCCGCAGCTGCATGAACTCGCTCTGGTCGGGCACTGAGCGCGTCCGCATCGGAGAGCGCCTCAAGGCGACGCTGGCCGGGGTGCTAGAGCTGGAGCTGCTCAGGTGCAAACACCTGGAGATGGTGGACGCCGCTCTGGAGGACAGAGCCGCTGCTGCCACGGACGAGCCACGGGTGGAGGAAAGGAGCGAAACCCCAGTGAGCGCCACCTCGGATCCGGAGCGTGGCTCTGCGACATCCCACAGGCAACAGGTCAGTCAGTGCGTCTGTCAGCCCGTAGCCCGGATCTCTACATGACCAGATTATTAAAAATGAATGTAGGGATTGTGGTGATCTGCCAACTAGCCAGTCCCCCTGCGGCTCACTAGACAGATTTTATCGCTGCCTGGCGGCATACGGCTGCGCCGGGATTTAAATAGCTACCCAATTGATTGAGATGGTGACACAGCCTATGAAAGCATGCACCAGTATACAGCAGCAGTGTGTTACTGTCACATGGAGTAAATGTCACTGAGGTCAGGGTATTAGGACCAGGTCTTGGCTGGCCGGTCCTGTGCCCTGCCTCAAGGTTAAAAAGGATGTACAGGTATTAACACTCAGGCTAGCAACCAGACACTGCTGCATTCACTTAGGCTCTGGCTGGTCAGCTCATCAGCTGTAAAGGTCACTTTGGCACCCAGTTTGCATTCAAATCACTGATCACATCATGAAGCTTAACTCCACCACTGTCTGTCTTGTACTGCAGTTTTGATCTTTTATTTTGAAATCCTTAATACTTGAGTCAAGTATGATCTTAGGCTCATCTTCAAGCACATCCACACAGGAAAAAACATTTTCCCAACCTGGACTTGAAATTTATTTGCAGGTGTTTTGTGATGGGAATGTGGGTTAGTATGTAGTACAGGAGGACTGAATGTAAATCTGGCCCATCCTGAGGCCTGGATACGATGGCTCTAGGTGATCTGGACTGTTATTTGTGAACTTGTGGCACAATCAACATGTAAAATCTGTTGAAAATGAGAGGATGGAGGTGACAAGAGTTTCTGTTTAAAACTGGGGCTGGATAAAAAGTCTAAAATGGTAAGAAAATAAGATTTAAGAACAATAGGGAATATTAGCTTTGAAGGGATTAATAATTGGTCTGTTGCCAGAAAACCAATCAGGTACTCTTCTGGTAATCGGTTACATAATTTATAACTAAAGCGATCCATAGTTTTAACTTCTTCAATGCAGGATTTCTTTTTTACATCTGTTTTCTGGATTTTCTTCTTGTTTTCTGACATTTTCTAGAGCAAATCAAGAATTGAATTGGCAGAGAATGATTAGGATTAAATGCAGCTGTCTTTTTTTTATTTATTTATTTCCTCAGTTTCCTCTGGTCATAGTGCATGAAGTTTTAAAAACAACTGCAGCTTTCCACTGCATAAAGGACTTATGAAATGACTCTCTCCAGCGGTGACAGTGTTCCGAGTCCAAACCATTATTACAATTTCACAGTGTGTGCAGAAATGGACTTCTTTTCTGTGGAGCTAAACTTCCAAGAGATTCACTGCATTATAAATAAAGTGCAGTCCTGTGTCAGTCTCTGCAAAGTCTGTCTGTGATGAATTGTGTCTGGATCATTTTCAGATTTTGACAATCCAGTAACAGGTTCATGTTGCGTTCAGGGTCTGACGGTGTTAGGAGTTTCATGGCATTGCACTTAGTGTAAAGTGCAGTTATGTTATTTAGTACAAAACCAGTCATTTGTGGATTATCATGAGATCATTTCTGGATTTAATAAAGCAGTGTCATCTAGTGTTCAGGCTCCACTGGTGGTTATCACCTCAGGGTTATCAGGCTACATTAATAACACTTGTGTAAAGTACAAGTAACAGTTCATCGTGGTCACATTGCACAATGTTTGTGCCTACTGTATGTGCGTTCCATGCCTATGACTGGTATTAGTCAGCAGCCTGCAGCACATTAATACATGCTGTGTCTAAACCAGGCCACAACTGAGGTCACCTTTGCAGAGCGGTGAAGTTATCTGGCAATATGAAATCCTATCTCCTACAGGCTGTACTCGAAAGAGGAAAACACTTAAGAAAAAACTTAAAATAAGAACTTTATCAGTGCAGAGACAGAAATTGCCGTTGCATCTGTGCGCGGGCATTTGCATGGAAGTGCGGCTCATAATAATCTGGCTTCTCACCACCCACTTACCAACATCTCGTCTGTTGTGCCCCCCCCACCCGACCAACCCACCCCCCTGTTGTGCTAAAATATCCTGTGGAGGGGCCGAGCAGCATTACTCATTCTCACCTCTGAAGGGAGCTGCCAGTGCAGCAGAGCAGGCTGGCACTCTGCCCTCTGCCCGGGCCAGCCTCCGCCAACACACAACATTTGCATAGATGGAGACAAATTGTTGTTTAAAAAAAGTGACCACATCTAATCTAAAGCCTGCAGCAGCTGGAGAAAGAGCAAGGCAGAGAAAGTAAATGAGAGTACCTGCAGATTTTTTTTTTTTGCTTCCATTAAAGGTGGAAAAGTTGATCTTGAACCCTAAATTCATTAAAATAATTTCACCTGATGCTCTTCCACAAGTGTTTTGAGCTGAGGATTAAGTGACTCACAATGTACTCTAATACCAGCTTTTTCTTTCTTTGCATTTTGGACTTAACATCTGGAAACATAGTTCATCTTTTCTCTCTACAAGCAGAGAGAAAGGGCAAAAGCTATCACCGTGCAAATCCACATTTGACAGGTTCAGATTACAGCTGTACGGTGTCATCTGGTGGAAAAAAAATGCAATTTAAAATGACTTTCATCTCCAGCATTTGTGAAGCATACAGGCTTTTGAAAAAAGTAATAATACGACACTTCAATACTGTTTGTGTGGAAAATCACATTTAATTTGCATAAATGTTTCAATATCATAGTGTTTTGTATATATTACATAAAGGTTGAGTTGTCAGAGTGCAACATTTTAGTCTTTTCACACCTTTCAGCAGCTGTTCTTGTCTTGAGAATGGATGCCAAAGCCAAGTTGTTGGAATCCACATTGTTACCATTTAATGTTCAAAAATAAAAATTGTCCTCGGTAGAGGACGGTAGAGCTGCAACCATTTGTAGATGTGGATTGATGAACAGGGAAATTAATCTGCAACTATTTTGATAAGCCAAAACTTTTCAGACATTTTCAAGAAAAAAAAGCCAAAATGTCTTTCTGTTGTTGTAACAGTAACCGAATACCTCTGCTTTTTGGGCTGGTGGTTGGATGAAACAAAACATTACTGTCATCTTTACTGTTTTATAAACCAAAGAACTAATCAAGAAAAATAATTTTTAGATGCAGCCCTAATACACAGGACCGTATGTGTTTCTATAGCATCTGTGTAAACTTACTGAAGGCACCTTGTCTTGAAATTAGGTTTGGAAAGCATCATCTTACATGCAGAGCCATTACCCTGACTTGTGGTGTGAGACCGCTTTTGTCTCTGGTTTTTGCCTCAGGATCCTTGTGAGCTCACCAGGAATAAGTCTGTAACAATGATACTTAAAGGATTCAACCTGGATGTTTCAGAAACGCTGGAGCACATCACTTCACTTGGTGGTGAAGGCAAAGATTCACAACATAGGAAGTCTATTTCAATATCACATTAATAATGCATGAAACAATAAATAGTGTGCCATGTAGAATGAGCAAGTAACAAAACACTCGCTCCATCCTACACCATGTGACCAAATGATTGTCCCTCAATATGGCAACTGCTGCAGTTGGTCTCGCTGTAATGACATGTTGTACCTTAATAAGAGGAAGGATACTGCTTGTGCAGCTACAATCAATGTTTCATTATTATCCAGTTGACCCATGCATCTCCTACATATGGTTCCAGAGGGGCTGTGCTGCTCCCTCACATGAAGGAATATCATATTACAGCTTGGTACAGACCCCCACCCACTTGTCTGTCAGCCTCCTATGATTTGATCATCACTGTGTAACATTATATCCTGTAATGTGCAATGCAATAGGTTGTTGAGAGATACAGAAAAGCAAAGGTCTGTGTAGGAAAAAAGAGCTACCATAGTACTTTTTAAACTGTCAGCTTAGGTCTCTGACTCAACTTGTTTAATGAAAAGGAAAGGAAAAATGTGAGGCCCCTGCAAATGTATAAAAATAAACATTTGTGCTTTTATGGCAGAAGGAAGAGAATGCAAAAAGTGGGATTTTGCAGACGAGAACATGCATGCGAATGAAAGCGCGTGTGTGTGTTTGGGCTGAGGGTGAGTTAAATATTTCGCCAGGCCTGTTGTGCTGTTGTGGTTCTGTGTGGGAGGAGAAGTGAGTGAGAGTTGGAGAGCGAGCAGCTGTAGCTATGGTGAGTAGGGGGTGGCAGGCTCCAAGGATATTACAGAAGGGGCTGGGAAGGATTATTTGTCAGGGGTAGTGTGGGGGAGGTGGGGGTCCTTCAAGATGCCCTTCTCTCTCACCCGGCAACCGCTCACCCTGCTCCCTGTCTCGCCCTCCCTCCCATCGCTGCCTTCATTCGCTCAGTGAGTCACCCGTTTTTCTCAGTCTCTTTTTTTTTTTTTTTTTTTTTTTTTTTTTGTCCCTCTTTCTCTTTGTGGTCACCCACTCAGCCACGACTCACTTTGGATTCACTGAAGAAGAAAAGGAAAACAGAGGACAGCAGAGAGTCGAGGCTCCCTGATCTCACAGTGCTGAGATAAGCTTCAGACAGGAAGAAGTCTGAAACTCTTTCTCCCACTAGTTTTCCTTCCTCCCCCCATCTCTTCTGCTTCTCTGGCTGCTCTTTGTTACGTCATCTGCCTTCTCCCATTATGTTCTGAATCCCCCTCCTCTCATGTCGCCCCAGCAGTGAGTCACTACCTGCATTGTTTCCTCAGTAACAAGAGGATTGATCAGTGCCACTCACTGTGTTTCTGTTGTCTGGGCTCCATCAGTCTAATGCAGGGGCTTTTGGCTCTGGAGGGGGTGGGTTCAATGATTCAGAGGAGGCGGGTACTCTACCAAGCGCTTACTAATCTGGGAAATGGAGGCACTTCACAAAGTTGATTGTTCTTGTTATTGTGTTTCGACTGTTCCGGTAAATGTGGTGTGACGTCATCGGAGCGTGTGTTGGGTAATGATCTCAGGGGACACGCTGTCATTTCACAAGGGTCCAATTGTGTTTTGAGGAGTTGTCCTTATCATCAGCAGTGGAAAGTAACTAAGCACATTTGCCCCAGCAATGAGTATTTTCCATTTGATGCTACTTTCTATTATGTATTGTACTATTTGTCTTTAGTTCACAACTATAGTTATTAACTTCTTGCTTACTTCGCTACTTGTTTGACAGTAATGATATTTTGCTGTTATTTAACACTCAGGCCTTAATATGCTGTAGTGCAGGGTAATAAATCAATATTTATAAACTTTTAATTAGTTAATATTATAGTACATGATCTTATAAAGTCATTCTACCAGTGTCTGTTGTGCAAATATTTGAGCAATTGACAATTTGTTTCACTGAAGAGTTTGGCCTTGAGTAATGTCAAGCAGAGGATAGTTTGTTTTGAACATCATTTTGATCATGTTTTCAGCTTCATCACTGATTTCTGACTATAGAGACAGGAGCTGAGAAAAAGCTCAGAATAAAGGTTCACTTTCAGTGGACACAGTGGATTAAGGAGAGCGTCGACATCTCCGCTGACTCGAGCTTTAGGGCTCGGTCAGTTGTCATGGAGGTGGATTTGTTTCTGATCACATGACTTGATGTCAACCATGTGACAAGTGATTGTCCTAATCAATTATTTGAATGACTTTTAGATATACTATACTGTAGCCCTACACCTACAGATGTTCAACACTAGCTGCCCAGGTGATTGCAAAGGGCGCAAAAAGTGACAAACAGCCTTGTAAATTCTTGAGCGTATGGCTGGAGACAGACTAAGATGATGCCCAACTTGGGCTAGATGATCATTTAGTACAACTGGCAGTGCAGTCATGTTATTTTATGATCATACCATGTTATTTTCAAGAAAAATCTAAATTCCAAAGTAAACTGTAATGACAAATTTACAATTGGTGACCGAAGTCACTGGTTAACCTGTGTGAATGGTTTGATCTGACATGATGCATATCTCATTGCTAGGTAAAACAAAGTGCACATATTTTTGCTCGCTTGGCCCTCTTATCGTAACAAATGTATTATGTTACCACAGTCTCAGTGTTTAGCTATGTTAGTCAAATATATTGCGGTATTGCCCAGCCCTAACTTATCAGGTTTTGATTTTTCCAGGCTCCTTCTCCATCAGATGTCATGGCATTACCCTGTCAGAGCAGCCTAGAAGACTGTGGCAGTAATTCAGCTGATGGGACGGCCCACTCCTTGTCCGGCAGGGGGAGTAACTCACGCTGGTCTACTCTGTCCTGGGATGCCCCATCAGACCTACTCTCTCCCCCAACACCAGACCCTAGTGGTATGGTCCACCTGGACAGTGACTCCAGACCTAGTTCAGGTAAATACATGCGTCAAAATGGTAAGCAGTGTGTGTGATACCACTGAACTGTTCAGTGCCCAATACAGTTTGCCACTTTGTGCAACAGAAGTCCCATTAAATATTAACCTCTCTCTTTTTACTTTTGCTTACTTGCACTCTGTGACTTGGCACTGACTCCATTGAGTTTTTCCTCTTGCTGTCAACTTTTCTTGCCAAACTCTTATCCACTCTGATTGTAAGTGTTACCTGCCTCTGTGCCCAACTCTGACACCTCTCTCTTTCTGCTATACACTCGTACAAGCATTTTATTTTATTTTTTCATCCACTACTTCCTTGTGGAGGTTATCTCAAAATTTAGCAAGTAATTCAACTCAAACCTAAAAATTATATTATTTCAAAGTTATTAGGTGAGAAATTTAATACATTTTATTCTTCTAAACCTCAAGTTGTGATATTTTAGAGCTAAGGTTAGTGTTCACAGCTTTCCTTACTGCACTGCACTACCTTCGTGTTGCTTGTTAGTCAGATAGCAGATCAATTACAGTGACTCTTTTCTCCTGAAATTTATTTTAATGGTCTGAATTCTGTAAGTGACGTCTTTAACTACATTTTAGTCACCTCACTAACCACCTTTTTCTACATCCAAACAAAAGACTGTTGCCACTGAAAACATTCAAAAAAAGAACCATGAGGCTACAGTAGGTATGGTTAAATGTGCACTAACAGTGCCAACAATACAAAGTAGTAACATTGATGATGTCTCTGTGTATTAAATTTTAAAACTATTTTTCCATTTAAATGTAAATTAAGTATTGACCTACAGAGAAACGGACAAGTGACAAAATAAAAGCTAACAAAGTGTCTTAAGGTGTTGGGCCACCAGAATAGCATCAGTGCACCTTTTTCATTGATTCTCCAAGTCTCTGAACTCTGCTGGAGGGGAAAAAAGAAAAGTCAGTAATGACAAAACAATCCAAATGAAATAATGGGTAGTGTATTGCTTCGCCACCATAAGGAAAGGAAATCTGTTCTTTAGTCAGTCATTAGTGCCTTTCATCAGGTGTTGGCATATGACATCCATACTTAATTTTTTCTGTCTCCTCAAGGTTTCTATTCCGTGAGTGGGAGCTCTCTGTCGGACTCTTGCTACTCTGTGTCCAGTGATGCTGCTCAGGGAGGACCGGCACTGCTGGCCAGACCTCTGAAGCTATGGGAGCAGGTTCCTCTGTCTGCTGACAATGCTGATATCCTGTGGTCAGAAGGTGCAGTGCAGCAGCAGCAGCAGCAGCAGCCTGTACTGCAGAACAGCCTGGAAGACACCAAACCTACAGCAGAGACTCTGGTTTCAGGTGAGCTGGTGCAGAAAGCACAACTAAAGATGGTTCAGAGCAGTGATCTTGCTATAAACACCAGTGGAGGTTTTACATTTGGCAACATATGGATTTAGAAATATTTAGGGAATAATGATCTATAATAAAAAATGCTTGGTCTGAAATTCTTCCTCTCTTGCCTCTTAACAGTCCCAAATGACCTTGAAGAAACTGGTCTGAGCTTTCTGTTTGACCTCTGCTCAGGACTTGGTGAATCCCTGATTGTTTCCCTCCTTCTGCTTCTTGACCCCACTTTGTCTTCCTCAACCTCCTCCCTACATTCGAGACCCCAGCTGGACCCTCGCTACTGTACAGACCTGGTTTCCCGTCGGACCAAGGAGGTTTACACCTACCCCAGCCCGTTGCATGCCGTTGCCCTACAGAGCCCCCTCTTCACCTCCCAGAACCAGGAGCAGTCAGCCTCGATGAGTCCTGAAGGACACCAATATGATGAACAACTAGAGTCCAGCACTGACCCAGCTCTACCTCTCCAACCTCAGCAGCCCCCTACACCACCCTCCGTCACCCAGCTTGAACAGTATATCTCTCGGCTGGCTCGTCAGTATCACACTCGGGTAACCTCGTCCACCTCTGATCTCACTGCCACCCCTGGTCCAGTCACGCGTAGAGGTCTTTGTACCCCAGGCAAAAGTCATGGTTCTACTCAGTCCCTTTCTGCCTTTGAGAGCCGCAGTACACCCACCACCCTGCAAGGGGGCAGCATCACTCCCTGTAAGTCACTGCTGGGAAACTCGGCCAGGGTCAGCCTCAACACTACGGGGAAAAAAGCCACCAGGAACTCAATCAACCTGGGTAACCTTCCTTCAGCAACTGGAGAGGACCTGAGCATAAATCTGCATCTCAACCTCAACTTTAATGTGGCTCCAGGTGTAAATTCCAGTCTAGGTCTGGTGGACAACCCCAAAAATAGCAGTTGTGGAGCTTTTAGGAGTGACTTTGCTTCTGCTCCCACTGCCTCTGCTTCATCACTTTCCTCAGCTACACCTACCCCAGCACTTAGAGCTCGATCTCGCATTTCAACATGTCCAAGCAGCCTGAGCCACCGCAGTTCTCTGGAGGTCACTTCAGGGTCTGGAACCAGTTGTGGATTTGGATCATCTGCCTTCTGTCGTTCATTGGACTGGAGCAACAGTGCGCCACCTGATGCTTTGCCATCAGTGTTTGGTACAAATGCTGGGTCAGCTCCTGGATCTCAGCGCAGCAGCTTGATCCAAGAGTCCAGCTCCAGTCCCAAACTAAACGAAGACTCCCCCATGGTGGGAGAGATCTCCCGGCTCTCTGGCCTGTCCAGGGCTGTTGTGGTCGGTCTGATGGAACAAGGTGTAGAACTGGATATTGACTGCTTCCAAACAGATACTGCAGGCGATGGAAGGGGTCACAATAAAACTCACCTGACAACCCAGACAGATCAGTCACATGACTACAGTAGACGGACCGACCTGAATCCCCAGAGACCAATACAGCTCTCCCTCAGTGTCACCCATTCTCCACAGTCTCAGTCCAGTCTCACCCCTCCTCTTTCACATTCCAGCAGCCCCATACACCCATACCAATCCATCCATGCTCCCTACCCCTCGCACTGCCACTACCAGCAGATTTCGTCTCCATCTGACCTTCCCTCTTCCACAGCCTCCTCCCCTGCCTCCCGCCCTACCCCCAGAGGTCGCTCCCCTCCCCGGCCTCTCCAGCCCTCCCCTCTGAGTGCCACCCCTCTCTCGGTTTTTCGTCGGGATGCACCCTTCCAGTGCTCCTTGCCACGCACCAATACTAGGCCCTCTCTTTTGGAGCATGGCGGTATCCAGCCAAGAGGTGGATCACTTCGGCAGAGTGGGGGAGGAAATGGAGGTAGCGGTGGGTGGAAGCGGATGGAGGGTGAGGGGCTATATAGAGGAAAGCATGCCTCACACAAGTTGATCAGGGCAGCCACAGTTAGCAGCTATGCCAAGAGAGAGGACTACAGCTCTGTTTGGGCTGAGCAGCAGCAGAAGGAGCGATCAGGAGCTCAAGCACCGAGAAAGACCTCCAACAAACTCTGGAGGGGCTTTGAGGGACGCCTCTGGTGCAAAGAGTCCGAAAACGAAAGGGAGGAGATGGACAGAGTGGAGTACGGCTATGGATGGAGGAGGAACAGTGTTGGAAGCTGGAGGAAGGAGCACAGAAGGGTGAAGACTTCATCTAGTAGTAATGACAAGAGGCCAAAAGTAGATATCTCACCCATGCTCTCAAACAAGAGAGGGAAGGAAGATGGGGAAAGACGCAGCTCCAGCCTCAGGCTTTCCAGGAGGGCTCTATTCAGGAGTGAGTCCCAGGGTTTGCTGGTACCTCGTAATTATGGCGAGGAGCCCTCAAAGCGGGCACTCTGGGTCTCCTCCTTTGATGTGGGGCAAGGGAGCTTAGGCATTAGCAAAAATGAAGGGGTCAGACTGCTGAGAGCAAAAGAGGACAAACACCTCTCCTCCACCGCCAGTCTCTTTAACCTTTCTCGCTCTCAGAGCCTGGAGGGCAGCTGCCATTCCCTCTCTCCTCTTTCTTCCCCTTCCTTTTCTCCATCCCCTCCCCCACGGATGCCCCTTCAGCGCTCTCGATCTCTGAGGGACTTGGGGAGGAGAGTGTTTGGCTCCATGAGGTCCTTGAGTCTCAAACGAAAGCCATCCAAGAAGTGACCCTTGTACAGTGAATGCATATCACCATAGGTAATCCTTCCATGTTTTAAGTACAAAACTCCAGTGATTGGTGGTATTATATTTCATGTAAATTCAATTGCTATCATTTTTCAGTTTAAGCTTCAAAGATTTGACTGATTAGACAGATATGTTGTTTGTTATACTGGCCATAAGGTATCTGCCAGTCTATTTATCCACCACCAACATGATGGAAATTCCTCTCAGGCACAAAGTCTGTAAAACCTGCTATTAATCTTGTTCTTGGTTCATTCATTCTGTAATCTTTTGTAAATTTTGAAAGACATAACGTACTTTTATAGCCTTCCTAAAACTACAAAATGTCTGTTAAATTTCCCCAAACATATTCTGCAGCATAATCAGCGTACTTTAACTAAAAGGTTGCAGTCTTTCCACACTGACAATGTCTCATTGAAAATTATACAAACAATCCTGTAGGACGCAGCATGGTCCACAGAGAAACGTTGGTGAGAAGACAGGTGATATTCATTTAGGGGTGCTGCAAATCACTACATACCTTTTTAAAAACTTAATTACATGAAGATTTTCAGTGTGAATGCTGTGACATCTTAACAAACACTATTATAATATTGGCTGTAGGCAGCTTTAGTACATATTGAGTGAATCCTCCTGTAACTAAGTATGAATGTGTATGTTGTACACTTGCCTGCATGCTGCTCTGACTGTTTCAAGGATTTATAGCTATTGTGTGAATATGATATTCATCTTTATTGGCAATACTGCCTCTGAAGTACAATCATATTGGCCAGATAATGACCAAAACCAAGCAAATACTTTAACTTGATATTGTGCTCAGGATTTTGAAATAAATATTCAGTGATTAAAATATTGAGTTATTGGAGTCAAAATGTGGCTTCTCTTGGCTTCCCCCCCTTCCCCCCCAGTGTTAAAGACATCAGAGCTTGGACATGATTTACAAAAATATTTTACTTTTAATTCAATTAAAAAAAAAAACATTCACAGAGCTGACTGGCCAAGTGCAACGGGAGGCATAATCAGAACTTGGAGTATTATATGAAGAATATCACTTCAGCCTTCAGAAGCATTCAAGTGAAATATCCAACTCTTGATCTTTCGCTCTGCAAAACAGCTCAGTGTCTCTGTTGCTAGGAAACTAACTTTCCTGTCATTTCCTTTCTATTTTCAGCAGCAACGTCTTTTCTGCCAACTGCATTCCAGTATTCTCTACAATCATCACTTTCCTGTGCTCACCTCTTACATGCGTAAAAGAGACACGGTACCATTACTGATTTAAGACTCAACATTCTCCGTTTGGTTGAGGTTGAATACAGTCTCTCTCAAGTGGAGGCTTTGATTGAGCTGAGTGATAAACCCCCTCGCCAGTTGTTTTGGTTTGGCTAATCCCCTCTGTGGAGCTGCTCTTCAGGCTGGGGGAAAACATGCCTCGATACATGGCCTTCGTTTTTTGTAACTCCTGATTCAGTTTCTCCTCAACCTTCTGCAGGTACTTTCTCACATTGGCATCTGCAAAAAAAAAAAAAAGTTTCACTCTGCAAAGGCACTTTTCTTTATCCCACAGGTGTTCAAATAGAGGAATGCTAGGAAACAAACTGCAGCATGATATTAGAAAGAGCCTATTAAATGTTAGGAATGGGCAATAATTTTTGAATATTCAAATAGTCAAATTTTTAATTTTTTTTAAAGAGTAGTTCATAAGACTATGGTTTTGTCTTAAACAACAAAGAGCCCCTGTTTTCCCTTGCTTTCACCGGCACCTGGAAATAACATGATAATGAGGTCGGTATATCATTTTACTGCAGCACCAAATGCAAACAGCAGAAACGTGCAGGGACTACAGGCATTGAGGAAAAAGGGTCACAGCATGACAGGATAAGCTATATGATGATAATGCATGCGAGCTGCACAGTGTTTGACAAGTGCTAAAAAGGTGTCTCATCACTGACCAGCTGCATGGACAACACTTATGCGTGACAGTCAACTGCCATTATGTAAGTAACTGGAAAATAGAGTGCTGTTCTTCAGACTAAAGCAATGCCAGAGCAACACACTGCTGAAAACCTGGTGAACGTTTTTCCCCTGCCACGGGACACTGCAGACTTGCAGGTAAAGTCACAACATGCACACGTGATAACACTAGCTTTGAAAAATTGTTGAATAGTTTCCAGTGAAAACTGAATAGCATTTTAGCTTGAAGTGCTAACTTTTTTTTCCTAGCTGTCTTTATGCTAAATGATTGTAGCTTCATCTTTAATAGTTATAAACTAAATCTTAGCATAAAGTGAATATTTGTAAATGTTGCAGTGTCAGTTGGTAGATTATATATCAAAGCCAAGTGTTTTGACAAAAATGTACTTTTAGGGTATTTAATTATATTAAGTGATCTCAAATATGAATTACTGTAAGAATTTTGAATTGTCTGTTTGCAATATTTGTGCTAACATTAGGTACTGAAGTCAGCTTTCACACATAAGAACCAATAGGGAACAATTTGAGTACTACTGCAATGAAAATGGGCTTTCTACATTGGAATCTTTTCAGCCAAGTAGTGTCTGTTGTAAAAAATATTCTTCCAATTTAAATCAAGAACTGTACACACAGGCCAGTACGTGGCCTCCAGAACATTTATGAGCCTTGAGAACCGTTCTATGACCCAAAGTGTGTATTTCACACTGCAAGTCTGTTTACATTCATTGTGTACTGGGCTCTGAGTGCTGCGGAAACCCTTCTAGTGTTAGTAATGTGACTGAAGGAATCTTGTGAAGACACTGAGAACTGAGGTAGCTGATGTGCCACTTTCACTGACTGCATATGGACACTGGGCTAAACCTGCTTTAGATCTTGCTGTAGTGGCACTTTTCTTACCATTAGGCTGCTCTCTGCAGGCCTGGATAAGGTACTTCTTGGCAGTCTCTGCATCTCCCATCTCCAGAGTGGCTACTCCTGCTCTGTACAGTGCTTTGACATCACCTGGTCGCCACTGCAACACCCGCAGACTGTACTCCAATACACGAGCATAGTCAACACTCTGTTTCTGCAGCAGACAGGCTGAAAGAGATGATCAATATATACATATGTAATACAACTGCACTATGGTCATTTCCCTTATGCTCTCCCATTAAGGACGTCACCTGTTTGGAACATCACCAAATTGCAGACGGAAATGTTGGTAGGGCATGTTCACGCTGAAATGACTTCATATAAAATTAACAACTACAGGAAAGTATTCAACTAATACCCAGGAGTCTGCCGAGGAGCTACAGTTTGAACAGACTTTAGTACAGCATGAAATGTATTTAAGACAAATAACAGTAATTGGGCTTGAGGTGGATGTTGGGGTACCCTAATCACACCTGAACTCTGCATGATCATGATGTTTTATGTACCAGCTATGTTGTTGTAGCAGTCCACTTGTGTGTTTCTCAGTAAAGTCTCCTGTTCGGGTGTGAGAGCAGGTGTCTCTGGTCCAAAACCTTTCACTGACGTCATCATTTTGGAGTCTAGGCTTCGTAGGATCAGCAGAGCGCGGTGATAATGGCCAATGGCTGAGCGGATGTTCTTCTCCCTGTAGAAAGCATTTCCTTCTGATTTTATCTGGGCTGCTTCCTCTAGCAAAGCCCAAATCGGCTTCATAGAGGCCCGTTGGTGTCCAGAAGAGACTGGTTCCGCTACTGCCTGCTCATCCAGACTCTCCTCTCCTTCTGTTGCCTCCATTTCTGCAGCAGGGCCAACTAGCAGGTAAAATGAGAAATTAAATGTAAATTAATGTCACAGAGCAACTGGTGAGTTTTACATACATATACGGACATAATCTGAAGTTCTTATATTGCTGTTGTACATTTAATGTTGCTCTCATCTAACAACTGTTAGCAGTACCAATAATAGCCTGGTTGAACAGACAACTGGTTTTACACTCCAAAGTCAACCTCTTTTTATATTATATACTGGTTCTTAGTCACTGTCATAAAACTGATAAACTATCATATCCAATTTTGTACTAGCCTAATAATGTTGTTGGTGTATGAACATTTTCAGATAAGAACTCGTGTATAGTTGTAGAGTTACAGCTTGACCCGAGTACATCTCCTGCAATAATCATACATTTAAAATAAGCCTTTCTTCAAATGTTAACGCATGATTACTTGTTTACTGAATCTGAAAAACAAAATAATTTAAAAAGTAATTGTGGCATGTTAGGGCACCTACTAATCCATTTAGCAAAGAGGAGATTTTTTTTTTTCTTAGCAGGTTTGTAGCAGTCAGTGACACTGGAAACGTTGCACAGATTGAAGAACAGAGGTACAAATTGATTCCACTAAATAGCTGAAACTTCTGGGTGCAAATGTCATGCAGTCAAGAAAAGTGAACAGAAAAACACGACGATCCAAAGCATACATCAAAATCCTGCATCAAGAACTCATAATTTGTAGTGATGGACAAGAAACGGTGGTTGAAAATTCCTAAATCAACCAAGCACTTTTAGCTAGCTACTAAAATCATTTGCAAGTTGTGATATCTTGTATGCATCAATTACTAGTTAAAGGAAATGAAAATTTGTGTATTAACATTTAAAGAAGGGTTATTTTGGTTTTAACATCCCCGTTTTAAAAACTTGCATTCAACTGCGCCTAGCTAGTCTCTGTGTAGGTGTGTTAGCCTGTTTTACTGATACCAGGAAACCAATGTTTCACTTCAACATTCTTTAAAGGTGATCATTTTCGTTTTGTGTATCGACAACCGTATTATAAGCAGCTAAATGCTGTTGTTTTATTTCATTGCTGTCACTTGGCTAACATTAACTTAAATAGGTTATTTGAGGCACGAATAAAAACGTTAGTTTTCATGGCTACGCTAACGTCCGAACCGGGTTCTGAATGACAAGCCACAGTTCCATGTTCTAACATACGCGATAATTACAAAGCGTCACTAATTTTAACGAACGTTTGTTACAGGACAACGAGAAACGTTTGTGTTTAAATTAACTGAGCTAAGTTAGCCAAGTTAACTTCTCTCTCTCACACTAGCCCACTAATTCATGATCTCTACACATTTTAACAGTTTGATACTTCAAAATGTGATATATGAATTATTAGTTTAATCTCACCTTACAAACTACAGGGAATATAATCAATGAACAGCTTTCTTTTACTTAGCAACCTCTCGCCTGCAGTTCTTGTTCCTCTTATTCTGGTGATGGTGTTTCTGCTTCTTCTTCTTCTTCTTCTTCTTCTTCTTCTGGGGCTTCTTCTTCGTCGGTGTTTTATGACAGTTGGCATCCTGTTTTTGCATTACCGCCATCGTAAGTCTCTTCTGAGATACGCACTTATTTTGGAAAATGATGGGAATTTCTTTACATAACTTTAACAGGTTAATGTTTTTGCTTTGGGTGATATGCATTACAAACAAACTGAAGATTAAGTTAATTTTAGATTTTAGACATCTTACTTGAAATTTTAATTTGACTTATCAGACACATCATACACTGATGTCACTATCACGGCCATCATCACAAAACATGAGATTATACAACAAACCTAATTCCACTTTATTTGTGAACACACGTCACTGAATGTAACCTATAAGCCATCTTGTATCAGTACCATGTTAAAACAAATAAATGGAATTCAAGTGGGCACACAGGCCTATACCTGAAGTACTTCAAGTCAACGAGTTCAAGTAATCAAACCCTGCTAATATAATCAAAGAAATGACACCAATATAATCATTACAAAGTCACTAACATGTGCTTGCAAGTGAATTCTTACATCATCCCCTGGCCAAGGTAATACTTTTACAAAGATTAGGTATTCCGTATAAAAGTAAAAAATATATAATAGCTTAATAAAATGTGTCTGCATCCTATAAATCGGTTCTTCTTCAGTCCTGCTGAGTTGTAGACAACATTAATTCCGACTCGTCCTGCGTGTCGGGTTTCTCCGCGTCTGGTTTGGCGGTGCCATTGCTCATTAACATTAATGTCTGTGATGGTTTCTGTGTTTGCACATTCAGTACATGCCACCTCTCAGGAATCAGCCCTTTATTGATGAGCAGTGAAGCCAGATATGAGAATAACAAAGTAGCAAAGAAGGTGACCAGCATGCAGATGGTCATAACAGGAGCATGCTGGATGTACACACCATCCTCCAGAGTACAACCTGGGAAGTGAAGAACAACTGGTAATCCTATTGATGGCTCACCACTCAGCACTCTCAACACCACCCCAAATAGCATGCCCACGAGGGAGCCGTAGCCATTGGAGATGTTAAAGAAGAGGACACAGACAAGTTGAGGGAACATGATGGCATAGGTTATGCCTGAGCCTAGGATCCAGAAAACCATGATGCTGTTGTGTAGAAATGTGAGTGATGTACCGGCCAAGCCTGCCAACACCACAGTGACACGAATCACCCACTGGAGCTCCATGTCTGATGCCTGTGGAATAGAAAAAAGCCTGGAAGCTAAATGGAAAAGAAATAGGATGAGGTTTATTCATTCCCTGTGGTCTCCTCTTACCTTAGTCCTCAGGATGTTCTTATAAATGTTGGATGTGAAGATGGAGGCAGCTGATAATAAAGCTGAGTCTGTTGATGACATAACTGCAGCGGCTATGGCTCCAGTACCAATAATAGAGATGTAGTTTGGAGTGAGGTGCTGCAGAGCAATGGGCAAAACCTGACCGGCCTCTCCTCGCTCGTATGGGGACGGGGAGCCATATGAGGTCATGTTCCAATCTGACATCAAAACATAAACATAGTAAATAAGTTATAATAAGAGTTTCACACTACTATATCGCTATACCTGTTGATGCCGCTACTGCTCCAATCAGCACAGAAGGGATTCCAAGTACGAAGATGAGAAGAGCTGCGATAAAGCAGGTGAGCCTGGCTGTGGCTGATGAGGAAGATGACAGTGTCCTCTGGTGGAAGTCCTGATAACCCAGGTTACCTAAAGTCTTATAAAAACAATTAATAAAACCATTCCTATATTTTAAATGGCCATTCAGCTAGAATCAGTAAATTTGTTTTTGGGAAAGCATAAAAAATACACAGTGCACAGAATCAGCAGCACAATAGGCCAACATAACACTGCACAGTAAATAACTAGTAAACTACCGCCTATTCCTTTGGTAGTTATAAACAATTTCATGTGCAGAAAAATTAAATACTTAGTGATTAGTGAATGTAGTTCTTACCAATATTAAGAAATTATCAATCCACCTCCATGCTCTTTCTTCTTCGACTGTACCAATCCAGGGGGCCTGGTAGGTAAAGTTGAAAGCAGTCTTGGTTATGTCAACTGAATAGGGGTTCATCAGGATGAAGGGGACACAGAGCCACTGCAGAGAAGACAGGAAACCACTGACATAAACTTATGACATGCAAATTCAATTGATAAAAAGAAAGGTAGTGTGCAACAGTTGTTCAGTCTCAGTCGTTCACAGTGGTGTGAAGTTTAGAGGCTTAGCAGAATAGCAGGAAGGAGTTTAAAAAAATGTTTGGCACCTTGAGAAACTTTTCTTGAAATCACTGCAATGTTAGAACAAATTTTTACGGGTTCTTGAACATTTCTGTGGCATTGTCTCATAATAAACTTATGTTAAAATGGTTTACTATGTGAGCAAGGAACTCACCATACTGAAGAATATGAGCAAAAGCTGTATGATGTCTGTGTAGGCTACAGAGTAGAGGCCTCCCAGCAGCGTGTAGATGATGGCTACCGCAGCAGAGAGCCAAATGCAAAGCGTATATGACAAATCCAGGACCACGCTCATTGTTGAACCTACAAAAATAACACAATCACATTCAGATTTATATACAGTACATCACACAAATAATTAACTCAATTTCAGAATATTTGCTAATATTTGTTTTGTTTTTATTCAAGGACCTCTACAGCTGTGAAATCTCCCCCCCCACAGTGATCTGAAAAGTTGCAAGTACAAATGTTGTCATTACAAAAAAAAGTGGCCTCTATAAACTTACCTAAACCAATAAGAGTTCCTGTCACCCAGATTATGTCAGATATCAGCAGTCCCACTGACAGAACTCCACTTACTATGTTTCCATACTTGATCTGAAATGGGTCCATCATTGTCACATACTTTCTGTCCCTCATTCTCTTCGCGAAGAAGAGTCCACCTTAATAATTGAATCACACAAAAAGAGACAGTTTTATGTCCATATGGGAGTGATACTACATGTTTTATTTAATTTGTTTAACCAGGAAATCCCACTGAAATTACAAACCTAGAGACATGGATGTGTAAAATCACAGTAAATATACATTTGAAATGGTGCAGTGTCTTACGGAAATTCATGAATATACTATAAGCACCAGTTTGTCTCCACCACATCTTAGCACTTCTTAAAAGACATTCTGTATCTTGTAGTGCAGAGAGATACACAAGTCATATATTTTATATACAGTATTGATAAACTCTTTCCATTTGTCTCATGCTGAGGGTCAGTATGAAGTCAGCTGTCCCTCAGTGTGGTGTCACCTTTGGAAAAACTCCACAAAAAATAAACATAGGATACAGTTATTATGATGTCTGATATCTTACCCACAATGAAAGACGTTGCTGCTGTCACTGGCATGACAGCCCAGGTCAGTCCCATAGTTGGAGTATACACTGCCTCTGTCAGCCCAACAATAAACCCACCTCCAACAAATGTAGCTGCAGGAAGCACACACACACACAGTATTTATATGTATATATTCCATATAGTTTGAGGTAGAGGTAGATTTAAAGCAGCCATCACTAATCAGTTTTATTAATCTGTTCAAGATACACTAATGATATGAGAAATCCAAAGTTGTAGAATTTAAATATTCAATTTAAATCATTGTACATTTGAAGCACAACATCAATATTTTTTTCAAATAAGAACGAACTCAAAAGGTAATCCTGGTGAGAGCCTGTCTAAAAAAAAGACATTTAAATAATATTTTGACAGCACATGAGAGGGAGTTCAGATTTTATATTTAATTTCAGTGTTTCTTTCCAAACTTGTCAGCCTTAGTTTAATCTTCCTCCCGGTTATTTTTGGTATGGTAAAACAAACTTGTGATAAAGTTAAGGGTTACAGGTCTGTAATGCTTATTCTCAAAATAAATGTTAAAGAATTGCTATTGCTGGCTGCATATGAACATCTCATTTTGAAGCCTGTAAGCTACGTGCCTATGTGACAGGGTCTATAGCAATATACCAGTTAGACAGATGTTTCTATAAGAGCTGCTTCAAAATGACTAAAATGGTCAAATTATAAATTAGGCAATAATCTCCTCATTTATAAAAAAAAAATACAGTATGGCATGGCTTACACATTTGTAATTACATTGCTAAGTGATGAACTTGTGCAACTATATAGTTTTAACATAATAGTATAACAGACTATCTTATCCTTGGCAGAGGGAACATATGAATCACTCAGGATGTACAAAATGTTTGCGATAAACATTCATTCCTGACTTGTTAAGGCAAATTCCATCAGCCCTAAAAAGATGTATGCAGTCCCAGAAGCCGTTGTTTTGATATTTATTTAGGCTAAGTGTTCTATGCTTGCACCAATGCAAAAAGTAAATGTTGTATTTAAGCAGCAAACCTGAAAACTGCCCGCCAAAGGAATTATAATATATCTCACAGACCAAACAAATGTAGAATTTTACTCCTTCATGAATCAATTAAATCTTTTTATGTGACGTTGTGATCTCAACCTATTAAGCTAAATGTTTTTCTGCACAGGAAACAAGTGAGCTCTTACAGATTCACACTTTCTATTGTGAAATAACTGGGAACCAGCAGCTATGCTCAGGTCGAGTCCAGCAGCACCAGAGTTGCCACTTTGTTTTTATTAACACCAAAGTTCAAGTAATGTTTACTTTGATAAATCAAATATATGTTCTGGTGTGTCAGGTGGATTATTAGAGGCAGTTTTCATGTTTGCTGCTTAAATACAACATTTACTTTTTGCATTGGTGCAAGCATAGAACACTTAGCCTAAATAAATATCAAAACAACGGCTTCTGGGACTGCATACATCTTTTTAGGGCTGATGGAATTTGCCTTAACAAGTCAGGAATGAATGTTTATCGCAAACATTTTGTACATCCTGAGTGATTCATATGTTCCCTCTGCCAAGGATAAGAGACAAGAGGAGCCAAAACATCAAGAAGTCACAACACAACATGTAAGCAAGGACGAAGGCGAACCACTTTGGGGCCCGCCTAAAGAGATTTTAAAACTTGAGGGACATCAAGACTCGGAGGTATCATGTCCAGTCCAGACGAGATTTAGAGAAACTAACTCGTGGACTATTTTGTCTGGTCTTCCCAAAAAAGATGGTTAAACAACTTTAGCTGCTGCCAGAGTTTTATCAAGAACCAGGATAACTGAACACTTTACTCCCGTTCTTAAATCCTTACACTTGCTGCCAGTTACCTACAGAATCAATTTTAAGGTGCAAATGCTAGTTTAAAAATCACTTGGTGGTATGGAGCCAAAATACAAGTCTGATCTCCTTGAAGAACACAAACCCAACAGCCCTCTGAGACCCTTAGGAGGCAGTCAGGTGGTAGAACTTCAGGTCAGACCCAAACAGGGTGAAGCTGCTTTAGCTGCTATGCTGCACACAGAGGGAACCAACTTCCTGATGTCCTTAAATGTGCCCCAACTCTGCCACTTTAAAGTCTAAACTGGAAACTGTTTTCCCGTGCCTTTGATTGATTGGTTATTACTGCATTTGTGCTTAAAGCACCAAAATATCCACCCCCCCACCTCCTGAATTAGAGCCTCACCTGCAGCACTGAAGATGCATGTCATACTTCATCAGCCTCCTCTGCTTCCACCATTAGATTTCTACCCTATCCATAATGATGAGTGATTTTGGTGACACTGTCTAACACTGAAGCTATTGAATATTCTTCCCAATAAAAATTCCCTCAAAACTATGAAAAAACATTTTGTTTTCTAACTAATGGTTGTAGCACAACCAGCAGACGGCCATTGATGTGTGAAGTAATTTTTGTAACACTACACTGGGTTAAAGTTATTGAATATTTTAGCAGGCCTATCACTGGTCTCACAGTCGCTGCACACGGAGACCAATGTTATTTGTCTGGACTCTGGAGCAGAGGACGGCTCGTTTAAATAAAAGTGCCAAGCTTGTATTTTAGCAACGTTTCGCTGTTGATCAGGAAACTTCGAATCTGTGAATATATTTTCAACTTTGCCGAAGTCAGCCACAATAACATACCGTTGTCAGCACACTAACCTGCAGCTGTCGCCTCCTACGTGTCTGGGATTAAATATGACATTTGTGCGTAACGTGAGCTTTAGATCATAATCTCCTCCCTTTCAATAGGTCAGACACATTGTAATGATCTAATATGACTTCACTCCAAAGTTAATACACACGGGTTTGCTCAGATATTGCTACATTTCTCTCCTCCCAAGTTATTTCCATATGCAAAACTACGCCATGGTCTCGGTCATCTCCCCTCCGCAGAGTGTGTCTGCAGGACTCACCTGTCATAGTGAAGATCCCCACTGCTAGGCTGATCCCTCTGTTTCCAAGCAGAGTAACTTCTGTCTGGTCAGCCTGGCTGTTCTTTTGCACCCGCTTGGACTTCATAGAAGCCCAGATGCCGGTGCCAAGCACCATCATGTAAAACATCACCATAACCAGCAGTCCCGGGACGTTCAGAGCCATCGTGCGTTGGCTGTCGGAATGACTGTCAAACTGTGGCTCCCACACACTGACTGTGTTAAAAAAAAATGCAGGACCGGGCTGAAGGATGTCTGAGTGGGCAGGTGCAAGACAATGAAGTGTTTTAAAAAGCAGTGCAAGAATTTTAAAATCAACAGGAATGCTGACAGGCGACCGGTGTTAAGCAAGCCCTACTTACACGCACATGGCGCATGTAAGACACCAAAAATTATAGCAGTAATTACAGAAAAATAAAAATCAAATTAATTTTAAAATATACACAAAATAAACAGTGTAGAATATAACTTCCTGAATGAATTAATCTAAGATGGTGCTCTACTCCATCTCTTGACACGAGTCATGCAGCAGGTCAGACGGTGGAGTTGAACGACGATTCCTGCATTTAGGAAATAAATGGCATTGAAAAGACAAAGATAAAGAAGGAAACGAAGGATGACTGTCGCGCGTCGCTCGCAGGTCTGTTTGAAAAACATTACGATCCCAGACAGTCAGGGGTTAAACCGGGCTGTTTGAGCTTCAGGGGGCAGAGCTCTGCTCCTCTTTAATAGTATCGAGATACCTGCTTGAGACTCTGCCTCACACTGACCACACAAATGTAAAATTTGGTGTAATGTGTTCTCTCAAGCTCAGTTCAGTCTTTAGTCCAGTCTTTCTGTGGATAATGTTATCAGGTTAGCTTTTCCTATCATATTCGATTCAGTATACCCTGATTAATGCTAGCCAATTGTCTCCTGGAATCTAACAACGGACAATATGATCTTAAATATGACCTAATAATAATAGCTAATAAATAAATAATAGCATCATTCAAACTGTGTGGATTGAATTTACATGATATAGGCACTGTTGGAATAAAGATATTCAGCACTGCCATACTGCATAAGACATAAAAAATACTTCTCAATAGCACCTAAAACACACACAGAGCCTAATTTAGGGCGGTCACTTTTCTGGCACTGATCAATTTGGCTCTGTGTGTGTCAGAGCCTTATCAGCCTTGTCATCCTAACAGAGCACTTCCCTCTCAGAGTGCAGGTTTACCTGTGGTTCCTAGAGTCCACAGAAGTACAATGAGAGGCAGAGCCTTTAGTTATCAAGCTCCTCTTCTATGGAACCAACTCCCAGTCTCAGTTCGGGAAGCGGACACCCTCTCTACCTTTAAGATTAGACTTAAGACGTTCCTTTTTGATAAAGCTTATAGTTAGGGCTGGATCAGGTGACCCTGAGCCTTCCCTTAGTTATGCTGCTATAGGCCTAGGCTGCTGGGGG